CATCTGGGGATTCTCCCCCGCCACCAAACACCTACACATTTTCAACAGGGTCTATAAGTGACTGAATTGTCACACACGCCGAGGCTCTACACACCAATCTGAGAGTGGAAAAAAATAAGTCACACGTCCCCACCTGAATGTCTGGGAACTTTTTCTAAGAAATAAAGAATAAAAAAGAAAGGTTACAGTGGTAGACCAGTTCCTGTTGGAAACAGGTTTCAAAGCATCAGGATGTAATGACTGACGTAGCTTTCACAGCTACTTGAACAGAGAGGGAGAACTTCAACCTGACTTTAGTCTGACACTTATCCAAGCAAATACAGAATAGATGTTTACAACCTTTAATCGTCTGTGTATCCTAAAAGAATGGGAATTTCCCGCCATCGCGAGGGAATTCCCGAAAAGCACATACGTTTAGTTGAAATGGAACACAGTAGACTTGGGAAAATCATTTTATTTTAACATTTATAGGCTTAGATCACTGGTATTAGTGCCTACTTCTTCTTCTTTTTTAGGATCCCTGGTGAGGAAGTCCAAGGTTTCAGCCATCAAAAGCGACACTGTGGCAGACTGTGAAGCCAGTAAGGAAGAGGGGATTCCCTCCTTAGAAATGTATGTGATCCCGAAGTGCTCCAGGCACTTAACAATGAAAAGCCCAGCTTTCTGATTACAAGCTTTGAGGCGGATCTGATGTCTTTAATAACCCGCTGACGCTCACCCCTGTCATTGTCAGACTGATCTGCGTACACAGTTTTGTTTACCTTTATTCATCAAGTCAGCTTCAACAAAAAAGTCTATTTTTTTTGTAAGAGACATCATAAAGCAAGTAAGTAATTTTTACCTGCATGTGGGATTTTTTTTTATTTTTCTATTAATTGCATAAACATGTTGACGAAAGCGGCCTTTATCTCTGCATTTATCAAAACACACACTGCACCATTTTCTCATAATATTTAGATCACGGCCTACATTTGCACCTCGTATTTTTCTAGGTGTTTTTGCCCTCTGTACATTTGCGTACTTTTGCGCAGCATTTACATAATGTGGTAGATCCGATCTTACATCACCGGTGACTGAGAGCAAGGCCACGCTATAAACAGCCAGACAGTCATTCATAACTGAAATATTTTTGAGTCATATCTGCTGGTGCTCACAAACCAGTCTTTTTTGCTTATGTATGAAGTGCATCTACCCCGCTGCTCTCATTCACAACAGCTCGTACTGAAATTCCTTTGTTTTAAGAAGTAGTCACTCATGGGAAAGTTAAGAGGAAGAAGTCATGGTGATGACCACAAATGCACCTCACTTCCTCTTCCACATTATCCATTTGGTCCTAAATATAACCTCTGAATGTAGTGTACGACCAGCGTTTACCATCACTGCTTGAAAATCCATCCCAGTTTACTTTATCGGCAAGAATGGGAATAAACAAATGTTACTGAAACTCGTGGTCAGTTCCTGAAATTCACTGAGGCCATTTGAAAGAAGTAAAGGCTTAGTTACGGTTAATGTCCGAGTTGGTTCTTTTACAAAAATGTATCTTTTTCATTAAAAAAAACCCAAAAAAACAACCCAAATAGGTGTGCTTGTCCTGTCAGTCGTGTTCACAGAAAACTATGTATTAACTCATCTATTTCTAGAGAAGCCACAGCATGACCTCATTTCATGCTCCCTTCACCCGGAGGGAATGCACTTGATTTCGTAATTGCCTCAAATCAGCTCTACAATGAGCACATACGAAATTAAGTTACATGTAAATGTCCAAAGTAGCCCGGCGGCAGCTGTCTTTTTGTTTAATGTACCTCATAACTGAAACTAAACCTTGGGATCAACTTGACTCAGTTACAAAGCCCTGCTAGACTGACTATGACTGTAAGTTTGTGGATTTCCCAAAAGGAACTCATTTATGAGGGTGTGACTCACCCTGCAACTTTGAACATAGCCACAGACGGGCAGAAGGGCAACAATGGGTAAAATTCCTGGATTAGCAGAAGTACAACTGATTTGCAAATTCCGGATTTGGAAATGGTCATCTTGAGATTTCTAATTTACATTAGCTGTAAGAAATTTTCAGAAATGTCCCTAATGTTAAGTGTGCTTATTAGAAAAAAAGAGTATCTGTTTTCATTGGTGTCAAATATAAAGCTACAGTTAGTCTTATTTAAAACAAATTTAAATAACAGTAATAAATAATGGGTTAATTTGTGGACTTTTCTTTCTAATGTCTAGTAAATTAAAGCCGTTCTCATAGCTGAAGGATAATTATAATGCTAACTCATGCAGTTAGTATGGTAGCTAAATTGCTAATGCAACACCACCTACCTGGTGACAAAAGTCCTCTTGTTAGCAAGCTGGTTTTCAAAGTTTGTGTGGCATGCCCCAACTTCAGAAACCAAAAAAGGTCTGTGCCCACAGTTTTTATCTTTTATGTTTATTGTTAAATAAAAGTATAAGGGCCATGTGGAATTTTAGCTACCTAATGGTGACTACAGTAGCATAGCCAAAGTCCTGTTTATTCTCCATATATACATATATATATACACACATATATACACATATATATATATATATATATATATATATATATACACACACATATATATACAGGGAATACTAAGGAGAAGTAATAGTATATAAATGATAAATTAAGCATTTGCTATTACCTTACTTACACCTAATAGAGTGATTTTATTATAAAGTGCTACCGAAATGGGATTTTTTAAATTTATTTTGTATTCAAACTGAAAACAAAATGTGTTGGAAAAAAACAAAGGTCAGCTCCACCTAAGATCAAATTGGACTGTAGGTGGACCCACAAAAAAAAACAAGAATTCTTAATGGTATGATAATCCAACACAAAGCTGGAACTTTAATAAAAAAAAAAA